AGACCTGTGACAATACATCAACCACTACCAGACAGCAAACAAAAATATTTTTCATCTCAGATATTTGGACAACCTATGACTGATATATTTACTACTACTTAATTTTCTTCTATGTGCCATGTTCCTTCAGGACATGGACGCTCATGACTCTCTACAACTTCCTATCCATTAGGGTCCAAGCAGAGTTTCTCCTTTTGCCAAGCCTCCTGTATTTGTTCTGCCTCTCCCTATATATATTTCTATTTCCCATTCCTTTTAGCAAATCATCTCCACATAGCCCAGTGGATAAAAGTGTTGATTGAAGTAATTCAAAAAGTGACTTGATCAAGAGTTGTGAGCTCAATACCTGGCTACGGCAGAGGTAAACAAAAACTTGGATAGTTATTAAAGGAATTTAACTGAAACTGAGATATTAAAAAAAATCATGGTACATTGAAATAGAACAATCTAGCCTATGAACTAAATAAAGGGTATGGTTTGAAATTCAAACTTATATCACCTGAAGACAGCTGGAGCATTCAATGGCCAAAAGGTTGTGAATATGACAATAAAGATGAGGTCAACAGTCTGAACAATATAAATAGTGTAAATAAGAAAGAATAACTAATCGTAAGTAATAATAAAATTTTAGAAATTTAGACAACTTAATGGCTGCCACAAAGGAATTAATTTTTTTTAATGGTATTGGTTATAACAAAATTCTATTAATTTCACCCCATTATGTACACAGACTGGGCTGTGACAGTCTGTTTCATGCAATTTTCATGTGTGTTTTGTTTTAGCTCAACTATCTATATATGCAGGTCAATGGTGCTTTATGGGTAGCAAGGTTTAGTGTATTATCCTAACAGTTATTGGGTAGGTGGTAAGGGTTATGTTTTAAATTATTCTAGAGATTACTGAGTAGAAATAATTGTGGATCCTAATGTGGTTATTTGTAGCTATTTATCGTGTTATTTGTTTATACATATATATATATATATATATATATATATATATAATGTTTTTGGTGGGGATAGATATACATGTGACATATTGGCAAATATGGCAATTCATTGATCTGTTTATTGAAGTTAATGAGAACGTCAACACTTTTAGTTGTATTTATTTGAAATTCAATAAGTATTTCATATTAGACAGTCAATATATGCTTGATGTCTGATAATCAATACATATTTGATACAGGATATTCAATATATGTTCATTTGATAATCAATACAAGTAACATTTATAGGATGACCTGGTTTGCATGTTGGCTTACAAAATCACTTGAGATATTTTCTCAGCATTACTCAGTTTTACACAACCCAAAAACCATGTTAAAAAAGAATTTACCAAAACCTTGAAGAAAGAATGATTCTATAGATACAGTGAGCAACAACGATTTTGCAACAGTCATATAAGCAGGTGTTTAAGATGAAACTGAATATACCTATTCCAGTTCTGGATTTTATTTTATATACATACACATTAAATTACACTAGGCAACAACATATACATTTTATATTATGTACATACACATTAAATTACACTAGGCAGCAACAAATACATTTCATCTATTAGCCAAAAAAATGAAGCCTCTACTCGCCTAAATCATGTATGGTGATTCTAAAGCTATACTCAGAATAGTATGAAGCTGTACTATAAGATGTGGTTTCCCTGTAACTTTTCTATAAAAATTTTCATGGTGCAGGGATACAGAACACGATTACCTCCCTTTGGTGGAGATAAGTCACATGACAGCCGGTTACACCATGACACCACTATATACAGTGACCAAAGTGGCAGTCAAATTCAGTTTATTTTGCAGCAGCCCAACTGAAAGGTTGCTTTCCTTAGCCCGGGCTCCTCATGGCCTCTCTAGCAGCTTACAAGTCTATGGTGCCATTTCCCATTGGGAATATATATTTCCCAGATACAGAATGAAACTGCAGGTCACAGTCCTCAATTTGGGAAAACTCAATATTAGCTGTTTCTCATTTGTGGAATATGTTCTTGTCTGAGACGCAGATGAATCCAGTCTGTTTGAATCTGGATTCCTAAAACTGGTTTTTCCTCACACAGGAGTATCTCCATATTATACGTAAGACCTTTCCTTTTGTTTCTCCTTACACTGCTTGCTTCGGGAACTCTGCTCTGGTTTCTGGCTTCATTGTGACCTGCAAGCTTCAAGAATTTAAATGCAATGCCAAACATCATTTTAAGTCTTCCTGAAAACTGTCTTCTGATTTTCTTTCAAACCTAGTAACCCCCTGCGTCTTAGTAACATTATCACCTTACTAGGGTGAAATGATAAAAAATGAATAAACATTGAAAAACATGAAAAGAACGACAAACGTGCAAGTGACCAAGGTATGCAAATACCCATTTTGAAAAATTTTTAAGCAGGAAACAGACTGCAAAGAGGTAACTAAATAAAAAACATTATTTTTTATCTATATTAAAAGGCTCTTTTGAAATTATTGAAAATTGAGCACTCTTATAAAGTAAAAAAAGCTATATATATTATAAATTAACTGATTTAAAAATTTGGTTCCTTTGCTACACAGGAATTACCATGTTTCAAAAATAGAAACTAACAACTTCAAATTCAATTATTTAATTAAATTAAAACACTAGTTCTGTTTCATTTTCAAGTGAACTTTGGAATAACTTATTTTGAAGTCTACTGAGTTTTAAAAGCACATACAATTTGTCTCCAAGGATACAAAGAAATCTAATCATTTAGACATGGGCTGTAGCATATTCATTTTAATTAACAACTATTGTATCAAATTTGAGTTACTTGCAAAAAGTGTTTATGTCTCGGTAGAGTAGGGGTGCATTTTTCAATGAATAATGACATCTGTTCAATGCATATCGTCTGTTTTTTTTAAACAATAAAATGTTTTTGTGGCATTTTTATCCATTAAATTTTTAAATATGGGCATGTGGCTGAGTGGTTAGAATGTTTGCATTCTGACCATGAGATCTGGGTTTGAATCTCACATGGTTGATTTGTCAGGAAGAAGACTTCCTGTTTTGGTTGATCCCAGTGTGCAGCACCTTGGAAACTGCCTGAAAACCATACCATGGGTTGACCCAAGCCTTTTGAGTGAAATTGGGTAGACAGAACCCTTGGGGGCCGTTGATAGCTGTGCTAGCATGAAGTCACAAGTCATAGTGACCAAGGGTTTGAGCGTGCTGGCCGTGTTCAAATTGTTGATCACACTAGATAACATGCTCTTTCCCAGAAACTGTAACTAAGATCTGCTTAGCATCATTACAGTATAAACAACAGGTGGGCTCTGTGGGTGTTAAATAAACACAAATGTGCCTGAGAAAGCATCTACAATAGGGATTGGCTAGCCACCCTAGTAGATGGGTATCACTGAATATGAATGGCCAGCTATACATATATGTATATACATATATGTATAGCTGGCCACTCATATGTATGTATGTATATATATAAGTATGTGTGTGAGTGTGTATTTATTACTTAAATGTTATTTTTAGTGGATACACCTATTTGAGTAAACACTGTTTATTAAACAGCATATTTATTTATTTTGGCCTGAATATTTGAGAAATCTTATTAAGGAAAAATATGTGCTCTCTGGCAGGATTTGAACCTGCATTCACTTAGGAGAAACCATCATTAAATCTGATGTGCTTTGGATCACTTGGCTATGAAGTGCATCGATGGCCAAGTTGAATAGAGCATTTAAACACAGATTTTTTTCCGACTCTTAAAATATACATATCTGCTCAGTTTTGTATCCTAATGTAAACAAAGCAATTTCTAAAGAAAGGGATGGATTTTTATTGCTGTCAGATTAATAATTAATATATGTATATATATATATCATACTATTAATACAATAACATGAAAATCTGCAACTCAGAATTTCATGCGATAAAATGATCATCAGATGACATATATCCCTCTGATTCCAAGTTCAAGAATCCTTTATTTCCATTTCCCTAAAATTCATTATATATATATATTATATTATAAAAAATTTAAAACCTCTAACCATAGAGTTAAAAATAATAATTCACCTCCTAGAACAAAATTAAATAGGGCAAATATTATTTATGAATTCAAATGCCCATTAAGGAATTGTATTCCTCAACAATCAACTTTCGTAAATAATTATATAGGCCACACTACATGTTTAACACACAGACTAACTCTACACCTTTCTGATAATAGCTCAATTAGATCTCATTTAAATATTCATGGAGACCTACCGGACACTATTCGGAACATACTTGTCGACAACACTAATATAATAGCATCATCATGCAAAAAAAAAGGCTAAAAATAATGGAATCCTTATTAATAAAAACAAACAAACTGACACTTAATAATATTAACTTTGAACATGGACATAATATCTTGACCGTGTTTTGAAACAAAAGAAATAAAAAAAATGAAAACATTTTATAAAACATACATACAACAAACTATTTCTAATTTTAACAGTTAAAAAATAATCCTTGAAAATGGCTATTTAGCCATTTTCAAGGATTAAGGATTATTCTATAAAAACTGTCTGAATGTTCTTTTTATCCGAGCACTTTCGGCTATGTATAGACGAAAGTGCTCGGATAAAAAGAACATTCAGACAGTTTTTATAGAATTTATCATCCAAAAAGAAAAAAATTATTAGATTGCATGAGAAATTGTATAAAAAACTAAATAAAAGCACTTTGTCTGTCATCTTTAATGAAATGTGCATGAAAGAAGGATTGCTGCCTAAATATAATATATATATATATATATATATATATATATATATATATATATGTGTGTGTGTGTGTCCATAACGTAATGATGAAGAAAAAAACAATTTATCCTAAACGACAAATACACAAATACTACATTATACAGTGAAAATTTAAGATTTAAATTCTGCTAATAACTATTTCTCAGGCTACAAACATATTGATTCAGCCTTGCATGTATAATAAATAAGAGAAATTGATTTGCAGTATTTCAAATGCTTTCTTACCTGTCCTCCAGAAAGCACCATCCGCAAAATGGATTTTCATCTGCCAAACATTCTTTGCAGCTTGCTCGAGATTCACAATCTTGAATTTTTACTTTGAACACCTGTTAACGAAGATGAGAAAGACAACACAAATAGAAAAATTGTAAAGTCTGTAGCATATCGGTAGGTTTGCCTGGAAGCACAGTGGATTCAAAAATAGGTAAAATAATATAAAAAACATATAAAAACTCAATCTGTATATTATATTATATATATATATATTTTTTTTTTGGGGGGGGTCTTTAAATGAGATATTTACTTCATGTGACTCTTTTTTCATATGCTTTTTATGAGTTGTTACTAAAATGATAAAAAAAAATTGTCATTCAGGAACCAGTTTCCATGTTTATGTTCAAACTTTGGAATATTTCTGGTGAAGAGGTAGTTGTAGGAGTGCCCTTAATAAAAGTAATATTTATTGATGTTCTCTTAGTTTAAGACCAATCACCAAATACACTGCATGTCAAAACACTAGTTAGGGTTACTAAAACACATTCAGTAATGTGGCTTGACAACAGAGGGTCAGAATTCTCCTATATGCCTTGTCCTTTTAGGATGTGGGCAATCAAAGCTCTCCATAACTTCCTATTTTTTGTAGCTCTAAATAGTGTTTGTCCCCTCACCATACAAACAGGATCATTGAGTAAAATAACCATTTCCCTCTGCTCCCCTTTACCTTCAGTATGTCCTGTGAGTGTCAAATTTTCCAGGTTCTCTTTCCTCATTATGTGTTCCAGAAGTTTCAGCCATTTTTCTGATCCTAAGCACAAATGTACTTTTGTTTCCATTTTTATGAAAAAAAATTCCTCCTTGCTCACATGGTCTATGCATTGTATGCTCAGCATCTTTCTACAAAACCAGTCTCCTTACAAATGGAGAGGAGGCTTAAAGCAACAGAGATGTGGTTTTGCACAAAAACTTTTTCCACTTTGTCATATATATATATATATATATATATATATATATTTGTGTGTACACATTTATGGATAAATATATATTTTATGTAAAGATTTATATTTTTAATTCTAATCTGTCAGCAACACTTGCATTATTTCCTACCAAAGGAAACTCATTTCCTTCCTGTTTTTTAAAAATTTTTAACTAGTTCTTTACTTGACACTAGCACACTGACTCATAAAAGCTACTTCTCATAGACTGTAGTGATAAAAATTTGTACTAATTCATTTTACACATGTTATTCACAATTAAGCATTACAAAATTTACCAAATGAAACATGAAATTCTACTTTTAAACACTAGTGTTTATCATTCATTTATAAACTTATGAATAATTTTCTTACATCAACAACAACACTCATCAAGAAAGTCATTACAAATTCTACTGAGGTGACCAAAATGGTACTTTTTCAACTGACATAACTCTGGATTTAATATTTTATTAGTTTGTTAGGTAAATATAGATATAATTTTTTTTTTTTAGTTCATTTAATTTTCACTGTATCTGTATATACATTGATTACACAATCATTACATTATCATGCCAGTTAACTTGCCAGTTATCTAATAATAGCTCAATTAAATCATATAGCACCAACCAAAATATGGCAAATACTTATCAATAATGTAAAAATACTATATGACATGAACTGCAAAAAAACAATTAAAATGCTACAACAACCCAGCATCATTAAAATTTCATTCAATTTAATAACAAACATACTAAATATATTTCACAATTAAGGAAAAAAATTCAACATCACTGTCTGACACATGAAGACACATACGTGAAAAAAAATATCAACATGACCCGGAACCCCACTGACATATGAAAACACAAGATTTGAAAAACATTGCATAATTATAGACATAACCCTCCCTATCAATTCAAAAAAGCAATTTGATAATTGCTTATGAATGATGAAAAATGTTAGACAATTTATGTTCAAATTCACCTTGGAAACTAGAAAAATAGTCTGAGCCACACAGAAATTTAAAAAAGAACTTTTATTGGTCTTCAACCAAAACTATATAAGTGGACATTGAGCTTAATACCAAGTGGCGACAGTATGTTTCATGCTTAAATGCAATTATCAATCAGATGGCCTGACAATTGCATTTAATTATTAAACGGACATGTCTCTGCTGGGTGTTAACCGCAATGTTCACTTTTATATTTAGATATGATGTATCCCTGATATCAAGCACTTTAACTCATAAATATAGCATACCTTAGAACTATATTTTTATTTTTATATATATATATATATATATATATATATATATATATATATATATATATATATATATATATATATATATATATATATATATATATATATATATATATATATATATATATATATATATATATATATATATATATATATATATATATATATATATATATATATATATATATTTATTTACCATATATATATATATATATATATATATATATATATTTATATATATATATATATATATATATATATATTCATCATATATATATATATATATATATATATATTCATCATATATATATATATATATATATATATATATATTTTGGTGCTCTCGGTATGTATCTCAAGATTCTTGACAAAATCCAGAGCCTGTAATGTTATTACTCCTGATCTGGCATCTCAGCTTCAATCACATTCCCATTGATGTAATGTAGCCCCCCCTGTGCCCTTTCTATGAATATTTTCATATTAATTGTTCTGATGAGCTTTCCTTTTTGGTACTCTTAATTCACACATTTTAGTGCAGTACTAGATTGGCAGATAGGTCTTACCATTTTACTGTTAAAATTACTAAATGTAAATGTAAATTCCTTTCTAATAGTTTCTTCTCTTGCACATCTCACCTGCAGAACTCTTCCAGCTTCTTGCTTTACTGTCAACTATAATCTTCAAAAATTTAAATGAAGTGTCAATTGCCATCTTAAGTATTTTTGGAACTTGTTCATTTATTGTCCTTTCTCGTCAATACAATTTTCTATTTCTTTCACTCTTAGTAACTCATTGTGTCTTAATGGTTTTATCTCTTCGCAAGAGGTGAAATGATAGAACCCACATACACACACATGCTTGTATGTGTGTGTGTGTCTATGTGTGCATATATCAAATAATGTTAAAAATCCTTATATCTACTTATATACAATTATATAGAAAGTGCCTAAGAATACTATTAAGATAGAAATGTTAAAAATATAACAGATGCTAGAAAATAAGTGATAAGTGATTTTGATGCTGCAAATTTAAAATGAAGAACAACTTCAATGATCTAAACTCCACTTAATGATTTTAAATCTTGAGGCAAAAATAAAGCAAAATTTCTTGAAGAGTCCATTAATTAAATTTTAAAAAGGAAACTTTTTTCATTCATATTTCAGTCTCTGTATTTTATTTTTCACTTAAACTTTTTCTTTTTTTTTAAAAACTTTATTTCAATTTGCACCATACACTCACATGCAAAAAAGGAAAGAAAAAGGAAAAGAAAAAAATAGTGTATTTCTTTTTTAAGCTTTTTGTTTGTTCTCACCTTGCAAAATCTATAAATTCTTGAGTGCATGAAATGTGCAAAAATCCTGTTTCTCCTCTCCGACCCAAGTAATGAATAAAATGAAGCTTACATTGGAAAAAGAAAAAAAAAGAAAAGAATTGCTGCAACCATTGATTATTCATTTACTGATTTCAAGGAAGTTGGAAACTGTGTATTAATTTCAGAAATTGAATTTTCCCAAAGATAAAGATCTTAAATGGTGCAGTGCATTTCATATTATGTCAGCAAGTATATATCCACGCTGGCAAGGTTATCTTAGTTTTAAAAATAATGGCTTTTCAGATCACTAGTAAATTCCTATAGATAATTTCATCATATTTATTTCAAATATATTAATTAAACAAAGTGTGTAGTCCTGGATATGACGATAAACTACATCTGGCAGCAAGGCCTCTGATCTGGAGGTTTTGAGGAGCACAGGAGCACCTCTTAATTGTTTTTGTTCTCAGATCCACGCTGATCTGGTGTTTGTAGTCTCTTGATAGTGCAATGAAAAATCTATATAATTAATTGAAAGACAAAGTAGAGAAAAAAAACTTTATATGACATGTTTCATTCTTCAAAAGGACTTCAAGTTAAAATGTTCTTATTGATGAAATTATATATATTTAAAGGGAGGGGGGAGAGAATATAAATAGAATCATCAGTTATAATTATACATCAGTAGAAAACCTTGGGTAATGCTGAACTTTAAATTTAAGTCCTGAAGTTCTTTCGAAAGATGAAACATTTTACACAGTTTCTTCATTTTGTCATTCATTTATCTAGCATTAAAAGAAAATTAAACAGAAAATAGGCAGCATCAGTTAGTTTGACTCAACACTGCAAATTTATATCAAAGCATCAACCTGAAAACTCATGTCCTGTTCCTAAATAGCCTCATCAGATCAAGATTTTCATACGAGTCATGCATGGTGCCAAACCTGTTGAGAAATATCTAAACAGTTAGCTGTATATAACCACTTTCAAAGATCAAGGGTTAAAGAAGGCTTTGAGTGTGTGAAACTTGTGGGTTTTGGCAAAGACCAGATAACAGAAACCATATCACTCAATGACTATGAACAGCAGCAAAAACTAAAATAGATGTTTTCTTCCCTGATTACTGCGATCTTAACCCATTGATGTTTAGGGTTAACTATTTTTTCCCCACATATCTCCATAAACTGTGCCTCTTAACTAAGTAACCCTCTACCTCGAGTGGCTCTTAGGCCTTGTACAGAGTGAATATTGTAAAAAAAAAAATATAGCAAAAACAAAGGGTTGAGAAACCATATAAGTCAATCAAGCAGTCTAATCTCTTACTAACAAAATTTTATATTGTTATTAATAAGCAAACATCTTTCCTCTTACCATATCAATATATCATAAGTAGGGGGATCAGGTAGCTAATACATTTGAAAAATTCTTTTGTTTCATGCTCTTTTGGATATTTTTTTACTTTAAAAGCAAAATTTAGCTTGTGACCTTTACTAAAATATATGAACTTTTACTATATCAGATACATGTCCATTTCTGCACACATTTCAAATAATTTGAA